GTCAATGGAACCAGATGTCCTTTCAAGTAATTCTGGGTCATTTCTTTTGGTCCTTTCATCATAAAAATAATGCAGCGATATGTAAATGCACTGGTTTCCATGACATCACAAAAACCTCAAAAAGTAGACCATTTTTGCAGCTTGGTTTTTGTACATAGACTGTAAGATGTAGGGAATGATTGGCACATTTTGAAACTTTAACAGTGTTTATAGATTATATGAAACTCTAATATTTGGAAAAAAAGAAAATTCAGCTTTCCATGATAAGAGCCCTTTAATGTAAAGTACAGTATATACAAAGCAAATAGAGTTGCAGTCATTTGTTAAACCCTTAAATGGCCAGGGCCCACTGGCAGTTTTATTACACACCTCTATAACCTAAGAACAGCTCAGCCAGTTTGCACTGAAGTCCCTGTAGTTACTGAATAATAAGCCTTAGTATAGTAATAAGCCTGGGATCTTAAGGGGTTAACTTCATTAACAAACCTTGCCTGTCTGTAGTTTCAGTATGAGTTTTGAGAGTTAGAGGGGATCCGGCTCACCTCGAGTGTTGAAGGTGCTGCGTGTTTCCTCCTGTGGAGTGATGTGTCACTAATGCTCACTCAGGGGCCGACTGGGTTTGATGAAGGACAGGGACTGGCGTCTGAACAGGTGGCCTCTCAGAGAGGATTCTAGCTGATGAATGACACCACATGCAGGAGCAATCAGCAAAGAGACACTGATACTATTAGAAGACTTTGTTATTTTGTTGCAAAAATAGAAATGGCAGATTTTTCATCACTCGCTGAGGAAGTGGTCAGAACTGTAATTGAATGCCTGACAAAATCTATATGTCTATACATCCATTTTGCCTTACTTTTCTCTGAGATTTGTACACTCAAAAAAGCTCTTTAATGTCCCAAAATCTTTAAAGATATGAGGTTGTCGTTATAGGTGATTAATAAAGTCAGCTCTCCATGGGCTCTGCTGCTGGAGAACCAGTGACACGAAGCAAGATATTGATTCATTCTTAGGTAAAGGTCGCTCTCAGAGCAGCGGTTAGAATAAATAGAAGATGAAAGAATGAGTGATGCAGTACAGTGCGATGAAAGTGCTGTTGATGTGTGAGAAAAAGCGAGTGAAGGAGATAAATAGAGAATTAAAGTGAGCGGGAACGGGGAAGAGAGGAGAGAGAGCGTGGTTGGCAATGGGCAGTGAGCAGAGGGAGCGTTCTGCTCATTAGAGAGGTTGGGGTTTATATGAGGGATCTGCAGGGTCACTGAGTGTTCTACACACACCAAGCTGACCTCTGCTTGACCCTTCACTGATTGGCCCAGTTACACACCTCTCAGAATGGAGTCTTAAGGACACAGACTGAGGCTTAGATACACTAAGCCTTTAACACTGCAAGACATCAAACAAAGTAAAAGATCACCATCAAGAAGAAGACTCTGTTTGAAAGCTTGTTCTGACTACAACAGTATCACACACGAAAATAAAAATATGAAAAGTGGTCTTTAACTGCATGCTGTAGAAGAACCTATTTTAAGAAACATTTTTGTAAATGCAAGACAACCTTTCTAAAGTTCAAAAAGCTGTTCACATAATGTACTGTGCAAAAGTCAGAGGACCCTTTTCATTTAATTATTCAATTTCCAGTCAAAATATTAAAAGATATGGAGAAAATGCGACCCCTATGAACTGTCTAAGACCCAGTAGACCATTAAAACTGTTACCGTCATGATAAACAGTGCTTAAAGCTTTCATCTTTTAGAGGAGAAAATCAAGCTCCACCTTCACATTTGAAAACATCCAAAGGTGTTTCTGTCCATCCTTCCACTGTGAGAAGACAACTCAACACTATGAGTCTGACAGGATGTTTCTGACAAGAAGCTGTTACTGAGAAAAGAAAATAAACAAAGAAGAAGGAAATTTGCTAATGAAACAAAGAAGCTGCTGGTGTTCTCTGAACAATGGACTGACCACCCCAGAGTCCAGACCTCAACATCATTTGACGTGTTTGAGATTATTATATTCATAAAAGAGGAAAGAGTAACCCACTGTTAGGACTGAACTTTGCAGGTGTGGAAAAATCTCCCTGTAAGATTTCTTTGAAAAACTAAAAGCAAGTCTCCCAAAAAAGGATGGAAGCTGTAATTAAGGCAAAGGATGGACACACTAAATGCTGAAAACTGTAATAGTTTGTTTAATTGTTGAGGCTTCAGTGTAATTTTTCTGTTAAATATATGTTTTTCCTAACACTGAAAAATTAACATCTACTCAAGGGATATTTTGTCTGTGAATTAAATAAGCAGTTTCTGGCTTTTGCACAGTGCTGTGAAAGCTGGACCATTTAAAGATTTTTCCGAGAACCATACATCCAAATTGAGAACTATCTAGGAACAGTTTGTGAGCGATTCTGAAATAGTGTACGTTTTTAAACTGAAGACAAGGGAGTAATTACATGAGAATAGAGTTATTTTTACCCTGGAGTGTTCCACAGAAGCCTCCATCTGGACTGTTGTCTGAGGGTCTGAGGTGCAAGTCCGTTGCTTTCTCCTATCTGTTCTGTCTCTACTCCTCAATCTGCCCTTCATCATCAGGCTCTTCCTCCTCCATCTCCTCACAGGATTTATCTGAAGTTGAACACAGATGACACTGGGTGATGAGGACCCTTCTAAAGCCCAAACGACTGACCCAGCTTATTAGAGTCTGAGAAACAAAACAAACAGTGAGTGAGAGTATGTGACTTGATCTGTCTCTCACTGTGACCCTCAGACTGAGGCCAGCAGAGCCAGACTTCTCCCCTCACAACCCAAACACTTGGATTAGTGTGTCGGTGAGAGCTATTGTTTAGAGCCCACACCTCACTCCATCCAACACTGAGGCCTCCTGGGTTCTAAACACTGTACACAAATAGCAAAAGCTTACATACATGCACAACAAGGGCCTATGTGTTCATCAGAGTCATCTGCCAAGTGACTGTACTGACCAGTGGTGGTCAGAAGTCAAAGACGTCATGTAATATAAGATAAAGTTTGCTTGTGCTTTTATTTGAGCCAGCAGAATGGACAAAAGAGAATGTCTGATATTATTACTGATTGGTCAAATACAGCATTACAAGTTATTGGATTCAACCAAGCTTCAAGGTCAAGTGGAGTGGAATCTGGAATGGAAACTTTTGGTTGACAGATGTCTGTGTCGGTGATATTAGAAGCCATGCCGGCAAATAAGTAAATAAATAAGTATAAAAGAAAAGAAAAAAAGATTCCTAAATGGTTCCTCGTATAGAAGTATGGTTAATGGAAAAAGCTTAAAGACTTTTATGGAACCAAAAGTGGTTCTCTGCTGGTATCACACCAAAGAACCCCGTTTGGCCCCTTTATTTTTGAGGATATCTAAGGTTCTTAGGAAAAAAGGACCACACAGCTGTTTAAAATGCCACAGTCAATTGCTTAATATTCACAGTATTGCTTAAGAATCTAATTACTCAGTGATCACCATATGAAAACTGACCCTTCCTGTTGATATGTATAAATCAGAGAAATACACATATCAGATCAAACTTCCATTTAATGAAAAAAAAGTGTGATCAAACAAATGAAGTGCACTCCATTTCAAATCCTCCCATCTAAAGTCACTGCACACTGGTTCATACATATTTCTGAAGGAGAGACTGAGCGGACGCAGTGATTTCAGCACACCATTTCCAAAACACTGAGACGCTCCTGTGCTTTCCAGACATTTGTATATTTAAGGGAGAAAAATAAATCAATCACTACAATATGTACATAGAAAATAAGTAGCGATATCAGTATAGTCACATTCGCTGACTCTCTTTTAGATAGATACACATTTACATATCAACACACACATTCTGCATAGTGCTCTCAATATATATCACAAACCACATTCTGCCTCTGTTCAACAGGTCTATGTCAAAACAGACAGCGTTCCTACTACTGAGCCTTCGTTGCACTGCAGAATCTGAACTTTTTAATATATTTTGTTGATATATGGAGATAAAAAATAAACTGGCTATACTGAAGTTAGACAACTCTGGTGTGAGTAATTCATCAAAGTCATGCTCTACCATAAATACCTATTTGAAAGACCAGCTCATATTCTACACCTCCTGAAACCAACAAACACTCATCACGGCATCATTAGTCGACCTTAAACAACAACGTGTTCTAAAGTTCAGCTGTTTTATTGCAGACATGTAATGGATCAATCGGCTACAACCAAGTGGATGTAACATGGACTGCATTTGGATTATGATATGAGACTGCACCTTAACCATAACCCCGCAGGTAGTGTTTGACTGGTTATAATGGAGCTCTTCTACAGCTGCTTCAGAGCAGTTCACTGATCTCTGTCTCAGCTTCTGGTATTTTTCTTGCAACTATGCATATCATTCTTAATTTCAACTGGGCTATTTGAGATCAGAGTTTCAGTAACAGAGTCATAAGTGATTCACAAACTATGGACTGGAGGAGTTTTAGGTAGAAGAGTAATTGGGGGTGGGGGGTGTTGGAAAAGCTTAATAAGCAACGAGTATTTGAATCATGGGCGTCATTTGTTAACGTTATTGCACATACTGGTTTGTTTAAATTCGCATGTAATAAAAAGTCTCTCGTGACTAGACTTTGTTTTGTAGCTACAGAAACGACAATTTACAGAACACCAGAAACTGCTTTGGTGATTGACAGAAGGACAGCGCAATTCACTGGAGATTCTTTTTTGTGTTGCTCTTCTGTTAAGTTGTCCTGCTCGTTACATTCCTGCTTCGCTGGACTTTCACTTGTCCTTCCCAAAGACTTGCTCTCTCGCGTTTTGAATTGAGACCTGGAGGACACGGAGGGGGGCGCGGCCTTCTCACGCGCTGCCCCCCACGCACACATCCTCACCAACCTCTTCTGGAGGTCCAGAATGGTGCGGATGAGGGAGTGTGTCACTTGCCTCTGAGACTGGCGGGGGGGTTAAAAAGGAAAAAAAGGAGGGGGGCGCAAGTAGGAGGACACGGGCTGGGGCAGCTCAGGTGGGGGTGGGGAAGGAGCTGTTGTCCTAATCGGCGTAGATGATAAAGCCAGAGAAGGTGCTGTATTTGTTATTGTTGCCCCCGTGGGCTTTGCCTCCGTCCAGTTTGATGTAGACCTCGTCCCCGGGCTCCAGGTGCAGCACCGCGCTGTTACTCGCGTAGTCGTAGTTCTGGTCCGCGTCCTGGGCGATGGCGCTCGCTCGGACCTGCGGCGAGAAAATGCGAGTTAGTCACGAGTAAAAAAGTTAGACAAAAGCCTCAAAGAGATTTAGAGTGATTATATCCTGCACTGTACAAGTAATAAACTTTAAAAGCACTGAGAGGAGAAGAAGACTCGGAGAGAGTCGGCACCACACAGCGCGGGATTCATTTCAGCACCACGGTCAGCGCCATGAAGCCTTCACCATCACTTTACTGAAATATCTATCGGCCAGGGCAACTCAAGCGTGTGATAAAGATGAAAACATCCACTGAATGTCAGTTTTTCCAAACTTACGAAAGGCACTGTCCCCCCTTAATTCAGTTCAGCTTATGGTGTGGATAAGGCGAAAATATAGACATCAAGAAAAGAGAAATATAAAAAAAATTGTGTTGGAAAAGCACTATAATATCTATAAATAGGCTTTCAGTGACTGTAAGGAAAATAATAAATATCTTCAAGTCAACACAGACGATGAGGTTACTTATTAAGGTTCTAATAAAAGAAGGTCCTGGGCCACAGTGTAGGTGGTAGACACAGCGCACATGGTGGTCGCGCGCTTGGAGGCTGGGAACGAGATCCATGATGAAGCTTCCCACAAGGGAATTTAAATTAGCATCATCATCATTATTACCATCATCATTATCATTGTCATTATCAACGACAACAACAATAACAATAGGATAATAACAACAACAATAATAATAATAATAATAATAATAATAATAATAGCAAAAACAACAGCAACTGAATCCCTCTTTGGGTCTAAATGATGATTTTTTTTTCTTCATGAGCGAAGAAACAACAAAAGACTGCAAAGCCATCATGTGAAACTTGGTTCTGAAGTTGACAGGCTGACATTGAGCGTTTCTGTCTTTTTAAGTGTTGAGCTCTCTGATGAGCTGCTATCAAATCAACTTCCCCCCCAACCCCCCAAGGGACCATTCTGATATCAGTGCATGGGGCGCGAGACACTGACACCCACTCACAGGCGCGCGACTCCTAATTACCCTCACTTACAGTAAGGCTCAAACAATATAATAACGACCAAATAATGCATTAGAGATGAAATTAACGCACTAACTGCAACAGTGACGGAGCATCGAAAGTGTTATAATGACCAAAAACTGCAACAGTGACGGAGCAACGCAATAATGACCAAACTTGCAGGAAAAAAAAATCTGCAGCTACCTTTAAATAAGGAGCGGAAAATAAATTAAGGTTGCAGTAAGATGCGCAGCTCCTAAAAGTGCGACTAACCGATATGCAGGCACCAGAAAAACCAGAAGGCAAACTTTCTGAATAACCTCGATCAGCATTAAAAAAGGCAAAAGAAAGTTCGCGAGCGTTCGCTGTCCTGCTTGAAACAGGCAGCGCGCGCTGTGCAGCGTTCACTCCTCACCTGGTTGTTTTTACACAGGTCTGCCCACATGCTGGTGCCGTCTCCGCCCCGCATCAGCACATGGTAGGTGAAGAAATAGATCCCCGGGATGGAGCAGGTGAACTTGCCCGTGGTGGGGTCGTAGTGGTTGCCCAGGTTGGTCACCACGTCGTCGAACTTGAGCAGCTCGTAGCCCTCGTGTTGCTTCTTCAGTCCCGCGTAAAAGGCTATCTTGGGCACGGTGCTGTAAGTGGCCGCGCTGATGGCGCCCGCGCCGTTGGGTCCCGGGGGTCCGGGTAAGCCGGGACGTCCCGGCTCCCCTCTGTCTCCGGGCGGGCCGGCGGGTCCGGGTGGTCCTGGCTCTCCGGGTGGGCCCCTGGGCCCCGCCTTCCCGGGCCGCCCCGGCTCCCCTTTGGGTCCCTGGATGAAAGTGGGCAGCGACTGCACGAGGCCGCCGTCCCGCGCCGTGTCCGCCGCCGTGGCCGCGCTTGTGGGAGACTTGGTGCCGTAAGGGTCGCACACCATCCTGCACGTGCCCAGCATCTCGTAGTGCGCCGAGGTGCCGGCGGAGCTGACCAGCACGGGGATGAGCACGACCAGCAGCAGCACCATGACCACTCCGAGCACCCCGGCTGCGATCAGCCGCTTCCTGCCCACCAGCCTGGTCAGCGCGGGGCGCTCCTCCTGTCTGCTTTTGGGCGAAATCTTGCTGGTTGATGGGGGTCCCCTTAAAACAGAAAAAATACAACCAATTTGCTTTGTTGTTAATGTTAATGAGCCTTTTTGGGCAGGGCCCAAGCTGCGCTTTTCCTTTTTTCTTCTTCTCCTGCTTAACTTTTTTTTCTGCTGATGCTTGCTTATTCAAGTCTCGCTAAAAAAAGTTTCGCCGTCCTCTGGCGCGCACTGACTTGGAGAGCTGTGTCTTCAGTCTCTCTCAGTGGCACGTGTGGAGGGACGGAGGCGCGCGGGAGGAGCAGGAACCGCTCCTCTTTCCCCACGCGCTTTTAAAGTGCTCCTGCGCGCTCAGAGGCAGGAGCAGACGGCATGGGAGTAAAGCAGAGGTAGAGGTTCGCCTTCACACACACAGACACACACACACACAGATGAAGATCAGGAGAGCCTGCGCGAGCCAAGACATAGAGAGAGAGAGAGAGAGAGGGAAAGCGAGAGGGGGAGAGAGGGAGAGGGAGGGAGAGGGAGAGAGGGAGGGAGAACCCGAGCGCAGGCTTGTAATAGACACAGCCGCCACCCAGCCCACCATCCTCCTTCTCCCCCGGCTCTAAAGACACAAAGCAGTTAGAACTAAAATGAAGAAATGCAACATATCAGACAAACGTACTTTGACGTAAAGAAAGGTCATATTTTTCTAATCTGGCAATGCAGAACTGGTCCTTCATTCATTTGTTCATTCATTCGTTCATTCATTAATTAATTAATTCATTTATTCGTTTGTTAAATAATTCATCAATTCATTTATTCATTTACTCACTCATCCATCCATTCAACTGTTAATTTGCCTGTTCATTAATGAATTATTTAATAAATTAATTTATTCATCTATATAATGCATCTACAATTCCCATTACCAAAAATGTAAATAAAACAAAATGCAATGATGTGCAAATCATTTAAACCCTATGTTTCATTGAAAATGCTTCAGAGACAACATATCAAATGTTGAAACTGAGAGATTGTATTGTTTTTTGAAAAATATATGCCCATTTTGAATTTGATGCCAACAACACGTTCCAAAAAAGAGGGGACGGGGGCAACAAAAGGCTGGTAAAGTTGTGCAATGCTTAAAAAACACCTGGTGGTTAATTGGCAACAGGTCAATAACATGATTGGGTATAAAAAAGCATCCCAGAGAGACTTTCAGAAGTAAAGATGAGGAGGGGTTCACCACTCTGTGAAAGACTGCACAATCAAATAGTGCAACAATTCAAGAACGTTTCTCAATGTAAAATAGCAAAGAACTTTTGCTTTTCATCATCTACGGCACATAATATCATTAGAAGATTCAGAGAATCTGGAGAAATCTCTGTACGCAAAGGACAAGGCCAAAAAACAGTATTTGATGGTCATGATCTTTGGGCCCTCAGACAGCACTGTATTAAAAACAGACAGGATTCTGTAGAGGAAATCACAGCATGGGGTCAGAAAAACTTCTGAAAAACACTGTCTATGAAAACAGTTCAGTGCTGCATCCACAAATGCTAATTAAAACTCTTAAACACAAAGAAGAAATCATATATAAACAGGATCCAGAAATGCTGCCGCATTCTCTGGGCCTGAACTCATTTAAAATGGACTTGAGGTGAAGTGGAAAAGTGTCCTGTGGTCTGACAAATCAACATTTGAAATTCTTTTTGGAAATCATGGACACTGTGTCCTCTCGCGCTAAAGACCACTCAGCTTGTTATCAGTGCACAGCTCAAAAGTCAGCATCCATGATGGTATAGGGGCGCATTAGTGCACATGGCATGGGTGACTGCCACGTCTGCGTTTAATGCTGAATGATATATACATGTTTTGGCAACAAATGCTGCCATCCAGACAACGTCTTATTCAGGGAAGGCCCTGCTTAATTTAGCAAGACAATGTCAAATCACATTCTGCACGTATTACAGCAGCATGACCTGTCACCACTGAAAACATTTGACACATTCTAAAATGAAAAATATGACAAAGGAGACCCTGAACTGTTGAGCAGCTGAAATCCTATGTTAAGCAATAATGGGAAAACATTGCACATTCAAAACTACAGCAATTGTTCTCCTCAGTTCCCAAACACTTACAGAGTGTTGTTAAAATAATAAATAAGGTGTTATTGGCATAAAATTCAAATTAGGCATATATTATTCAAAAAAAAAAAAAATCTCAGTCAAAATTCAAAATCAACAGAGAAATTGAACGTTGTATTGGTAATATTTTCAATTAAATATGGGGTTTAAATGATTTGCACATCATTGAATTTAATTTTTTTATTTACATTTTGCACAGCGTCCCAACTTTTTTGGAAGTGGGGTTGTATCATTCATTGTGCCATTATGTGGGTAACAACACTCCAGATTAAATCACAATGTTCATTAAATCATCTGCTCATTCATTCATTCATTGTTTTATCTGTCAGTTTGGTCGTTAATCCATCCATCCATCCATCCATACATCCATCCACCAACAGTGCCATTCTGTGAGTAGTAGTACTCCATATCAAATCGTAACTAATGACAATTAAATCAAAGTTGTCGGTCTTCATTGCTCTGTGAAAAATATGCATATCCGAAATGTGCAATGTCTATTTTATATTTATTATACATATTGTATTCAGAGCCAGAGAGTGTGCTGTGAAGGTAACAAAGCAATCATTATCATGACACCTTTGCCAATAGTGTACTGGCAAGTGATGGATTGCCCTTAGTGAACACAAACAGGAATCATTCATTGAGAATCGACTCCTACTCAGAAACAATCACTTGCTGCAGCAATTTTGTTCCTGTGATTTTCCTACAAATTTGTCATGTTTTGTATCTAAACAACATGCCAGTGGTGGTGAAAGTTTACCTAAAATATTAAGGTACCCCATTTAGGCCTGCTGTAAAGATTAAGATTTTTTAAAGCACTATATTTTATTGTTCATTTTTATGCCTTGAAATCTCAGAGCAAGATTTTGAAAGTTTTACTCCATTGTTTATGAACAAATAAAAAAGTTGTAAGGGTGGCATTTTTTTCATTTGACAGTTAAAAGCTCTGTTTGAGTCAGTAGATTTGAAGATAATGCCAAGCAGCAATTGACGTTTATAACCCCTATCCAGAATCAATTTTGCATGTTAGAATACAAAAATAAATCCCACTTTTTCTTCATACTAGAAGAACAGCCACAGAGTAATCACAGAGAAAATGGTCAGCTTGCTTTTTTTCATTCATATTTAGCATCATGGCACCTGATGTGCTTCAGGTAGGCTCAGTTTTTTGTTTTGTTTTTTTTTCCCCAACATACTGTCGGTCAGCCTAATTTTGGATTATTTTGTACTCTCCCCAGATGTTACCAATGGAAGCTAAAGAGACACAAGCGTGTCCAGCGGGTTCTCAATCTGCAACTGTACCAGTTAAGTAAATTTTAATTGGAAGTTAATCCTAAATGCGTCCTAACTCTTAACTGCACCAACACTCATATTCCATTAATCTCAATCACATTCTTCCTGGAGAATTCATGTCACAGAAAATTGATAGTACATATTTTGAGTGACTGACAACATGCTGTTCTATGAGAGAACAGAAATTAGATCAAGAATCAAACACTTAGAGAGACTGTCAAAAAGGCAGATTCAAAATACCACAAGGAAATAACCTGTGTGACATATCAAGAAGAGGAATGTTGGAAGAGAGGGTGCTAAGGGGGCTGCAGGTTTCAAGACTGCAACTGCTAAAAATGATAATGACAATAAAACGTTCTGTAGTTCATAATTATTTCAGCATAGTAAAAACTCATCTGTGCTTGTTTTAGAGTGGAGTTGTATATCTTTGTTCAATATTTTAATGATATATTTTCAAAACATGCGGTGGCCATGAACTGTGAGCAGAATTGCTTCAGGTAGGTTCACTTTGGGGGCACATCACTAAAACAAAAGCAGGCTGAAGTGCAAATAGGGGAAGTGTATGCAGAGTTATGCAGAGACCCCAAAGCAGCCTAAAATTAGCATCTCAGAATAGGAGTCCTGATCCGGGATCTGTTCATGTCAGTAAAGTCATAGTAAATAAGAGAGGGATCTGATCTTAAATCAGACTCCTACTCTGAGAAGCTTCATGAATATGGGCCATTGTTTTAATCATCTTATGTTATAACAACATGTTCATGAACCATTTTATCTCCCACACATGTGTATTTCAGTGTTAAATCTCAGTGTGACTGTGGACGTGACACAATTGGTTACAGCAACACAGATCAACAATCTGATTGGTCACTGCTCTGTGTATTGTAGCATGTTCAAGAAAGATTTTGACATGTTAAATTTAGATTATGTGTTCTACAGTATTTATTGCCCTTGGTTCATTTTGCTACGGACTCTGCTTGGAGAGGGGGGCTAGGATCCACCTTCGGTGGTGTGCATGTATGTGTGAGAGGAGAGAAGGAGAGAGAGAGAGAGAGAGAGAGAGAGAGAGAGAGAGAGATAAAGAGAGAGGGAGAAAAGCTTTGCTTATGTACGTTTTGGCAGTGGTCGACAAAAGCTGGAGAATAAAGCACTTTCTGTGAAAGCAGTGACTCTTTCAATAGCGGTGAACGCTACAGTATTTTCATCTATCATCCCATTATACCATGTTACAACACATTCTGTTTGATGTAAATTATTAGAAAAATTTAAATGAAAAAAGGCAAATCATTTTGAATGACATCATCGTTCACGTCACATATATGTCACTTAAAATTTCACTACCCCCAACTTAACTTTCCCACATCCCTGAGAATCATCCATCCATCATCTAAACCGCTTATCCTTCTGGGTCGCGGTGGGGTGCTGGAGCCTATCCCAGCTGTCATTGGGCAGAAGGCAGGATACACCCTGGACAGGTCACCAGTCCATCGCAGGGCAGACAGACACAGTCACACCTAGGGGCAATTAAGCATGTCCAATCAGCCTGACTGCATGTTTTTGGACTGTGGGAGGAAACCAGAGTACCCAGAAGAAACCCACGCAGACACGGGGAGAACAGGCAAACTCCACACAGAAAGGACCCTGGTCGCCCGGCCGGGAATCGAACCCAGGCCATTCTTGCTGTGAGGCGACAGCGCTACCCACTGCGCCACCGTGCCGCCTCCCTGAGAATCAATGTAGCCTATTTTTTTATTAAAACTACACTATGTAACATTTAGGGAATTGAAGGACTCTCTGTTGGAAATGTGTAATTGGATGCAACCTACGGAAGAACATGTAACATTGTTTGTGCTTTGGACCCCTTCCCAGAGCAGATAATTCTGATGATTGTGAGGGGGTTGAAAGGCTATTCAAAAACAACTCCGTAAAGACTTGGTGAATGATGTGTCTTCTGAGGATGTAAGTGAATGATTTACTATCGTCATCATACTTCATCAGTATAATGTTGATTTTGCATTTGTGATCTAAACATTAGCCTGACATTGAGCTGGACCTTCTGTTTGAGGCTGTGCATGTGTGAAGACGTAAAGACATACATAATGCAGCTTTAAATTGACAACACAAGTGAAGCAAATATTATAGAATATTATATTAATCACATTGAATGGTTGAGTAGACGAAGCATAATTTCATCAGAAACTCTTTGCATCTGGACTCTGACTGGAGAGTGGCAATGTTATAGACATTACAGAAACAAATACACACTAAAAGTACCAGAGCCTGTGCTCAAAGAGCTTAGAGTAAATGTGCAGATGTATGATCAGATTTATCTTTTATGTACAATGATCTTAAACATAGAAACAGATCCTAAATCACTCCTACCCTGAGAATCTTTATAAATGTAGGCCCAGACCCTTCTCTATCAAACAGTTTTAATGAACGTTAACCAAACGCTGTTTTCTTTTAAGAATACTCATCACTGGTGTAATTGTTGTCGAGTTTGCATTGGCACTAAATGGGTTTACTTACTCATGTACTCTGTCAAAACACAACACTAATATGTGAGAACTAGTCTGTTGACTCTGACCTTGGTTTCCAATAATCTGGGCTGGGTTTCAGTGTCTACTGACCATCCCTCCTCTTACATGGTTTAGAGCATGCTCTCTAGCACTACAGCACTCCCTCACCGCCATAAATCAACAGCCCAAAAATCAATGGGTTTGGTTAGCCTGAGAGCCATTGTGTCCTTGAGACTATGAGATGCATAGACAAAAGAGAAGGTGTCCACTTAAATAGGACAATGTAAGTGAAACTAAAACAAACCAAACAGAAAAAGTAATCACGTCGAACAAAATCTACATGGCTTTTCCCAATGGCTTTGACTTTGGGTGGGAAAAAAGTACACAAAACGATTACTTTGAAAGGTCAGTGAGTAATTGGTGTCGGAGTCTGGTGTATGGCATGCATAATGATCTATTGCCACATAGAGTCATTTTTAAACCTCAATATCCTATTTCCTGTTGACTCTGACAGAAGGATTGGACAGGCTGAGATAAGGAGCAAGAAAGCCGTTATTCTGGGGAGGAGGAGATTGATTGTGCGAGGCTCTGTCCCATAATGAATGGCCCAGAGTTTGGTTCTAACTTTAAACCACACTTTCATCTCTCCACACTGCTGGCCAAGGAGAGTTGAGTATGGGTGTGTGCAGTTGTGGATAGTAACAGGGTACATGTAGGCTTAGTTCACCAGCCAGAAATGTTCTATTCTAAAATATTCTGAGAATATTACACACGTTCTACCAGTGTTTTCAGCGAGAAGTGTTCTTTTTTTTTTTTCCAAAGGTAGAATAATGTTCTCTGAAAACATCATCTTGTAACATAATCTGTGACCATGACAACATCCTCAAAACATCCTCTTATTTTTGCAGTTAAAATGTTATGGTTTAGTTAACATTTGACCTTATAGGAGCATTATTTGAAATGATAAACATCCTTAAAATGTTCTGAATGAACTTGAACTTAAAAGGTTTTCTTGTAAACATTATTAGCACTTGTAATGGGAATATTCTCTGCTAGCTGGGTCATTACTGTAATCAAGTATTTTTCCAAATATATTTACTAAAGTATTCCAATTTTTTATACTTTTACTTTCACTTTCTACTACTTTTAAAAAATAAAATATCCTACTATGTACTCCACTACTTTCTGCACAAGTGTCATTTCTTACTCTAAAGTAAAATAAATAAATAAATAAATAAAAATAAAATTCAAAAATAATATGATTACGCTTTCAACTGGAATCAAACCAATCATAACACACCTTTCACTAAACTCTGTCCCTAATTACAGTTGGCCAATCATAACTTTGCAACTTTAACTCAAATCTCTTAGGGTTTTTCAAAATGAGAATTTGAATTTCTAGCATTGAGTGCATTTTTAAATCCAATAGCCAATATTTTAAAAGTTTGGATGGTATTTTAACCAATTTTTTTTTGCACTGTAGTGCATCTGTTTCTCTGTGTATTTTACTAGCCCCTTTTATTCTGTTCATCAATGGTCAGGACCACCACAAGACCACCGCAGAGCAGTACAAGTATAATGTACAAATGTGCAAGTATCAAAGGAGCACTATGGAGAGGGCTTTAAAAACTTGAGAATGAGTGAATATCCATGGCGCTCTTCACAAAGTTAAAAGGCCTTTAGATTTTGTGTTCATATCTATTATACAATAAAGGTTTTTTTTAACTCAATCAAGAGTGCCATAATATTGAAGTTATTCTATAATAGTAACTCACAGTACTTTTACTTTTGATACTTAAAGGGCAAATATCCTACATTTTTCCTTTTCTTTTTTATTTCCACTAATGTCCACAATTAAACAGTCAGTTTTTCTTTTAAGACAGATATATGTAAATTATCTTTGTTCTGATCGGATGCCATGCATTGTGCAAAAAGTTGTCTGGGCTGAAACACTTCTTATAACTTCAGCTTGGGCAGGGCCAAACTGCTGTAGGCCGTACGGGTGCGTGTATATATGAATATGTTGGTTTTCATGACATCACAGAAAAGATTAATTTAAAGTAAGCTGTTTTCAGAGCATATTGTTCACCTCTGTACTGTATGGAGTGGGGAGTGAATATGTGGATTGAGTGAGTGAAATGTTTTGAAACTTAATGTATGCATACTTTGTCAAACCCCTACTTAAACAATGCAAGGAAAATTTGATTTTATGTGATATGCGCAATTTATGGGTACTTAAGATTTCTACTTTTACTCAAGTAATATTTTACAAAAGGCATCTGTTCTGTCACTCAAGTATGGAGGTTGTGTAATTTGTCCACGCTATGTGTGTGTAGATAGGTGGAATTGCATTGCCCTCGTGATGGAAACAAGAGAAGGTTTAAAAAGAAAAGGAGAGAAGTACTGCAAAGACTGAAAAGATGAAAGGTGTGACAGAGGGCTGGTGGAAAGTGTGTTGTGTTGCGGCATGCACTCAGCAGTGTGCTGTGGACAGATGTGCCTGCTGAGTGTGTGAGTGTAAGGAAAGTGTGAATGAGGAGGACAGGAGGACACACACAGTGCCTGAGACAGGATAATAATAATGAGAGTAATAACAGCAGAAAAAGGTGTGTGACGGGACCTCTCAGGAGTGCAGCACAGACCCTCTGACACACACACACACACACACACACTCACACACACACAGCTTTTTTAGGCACACAGCACTGAAAGGTCAACACTTCCTCCTTATCTCCTGTCAGAGGGCCGGGCAGGGCCATGACATGGCCTCCTATGGGCAGATCAGTTTTCAGATGTGTGATGATCCTCCGTCACTGCTTCAGATCACACTCTCTTATCAAGTTCTATATAAACGCATCACTTCTTACTGAAAGTTTGCATGAGCCGCAGTACTTATAGGGTCCTTATCATACAGTTTTCTTGTGTTTTATTTTCCCCGAGCTTCACATATGCAATTTACTTTTACATTTTCCAGCCACTCTTTATTGCTTAGAATTAAACAAACTGGTTTTGTTGTCATGCCTGTAAGACATGTGATATGCAAAGGACCTTTGTTCTGATTGTGTACTTTGTAATGTGCCTCATTCAAAAAGCAGTCCAGGGTGCTTGTAAGTTTAGCTAACTTGTTTTATGCTAAATTAATTTAAATTATCTCCAAAAATTATGTTTCATACTTAAAAATGTATTAAGTTCATTATATTAGGAATGTCCAACCAAATGGCACTTATTTTAAACAGACCATTGCAATAACTTCCAAATGTCAGCTGGTGTTTCAGATCTTTATCATGCTAAAAGATCTATTTCTGTCATTTGAGCAACTTCTTTGCAGACACTTGCAGGTTTGCATCCAAAATGTCTTTGTGCAGTTTTGATCCCATCATTAAACACAAGCTCATCAACACCACTGCACGAAAAACAGTCCCAGACTTCGACTTTTCCACTTCTGTGCTTTACAGTGTCCTCTCTGCAGTTGGGTTGGAATTCCTCTCCAGGCCTCCACATAAAGAGTCAATCAGTTTGATGTTGTACTTTAAGTGTTTTTAAAACAAATCTACAGAGTATTGGTTTTTGTGGCATCAATTAAAAAACCTGCAGTTTTTGCAGCACAATTTCCACATATGGACTGTGGAGTGAATGTTAAAGTTTCAAAACATACCAATGTTTATAGATACCACTAATGTCCTTTATTTCCAAAAAGCAAAGGACATTAAGGGGCATAACTAATAAAATGTTATTATATATATATATATATATATATATATATATATATATATATATATATATATATATATATATATATGTATATATATGTATATATATATATATATATATATATATATATATATATATACATATATACATATATACATATATACATATATACATATATATATATATATATATATATATATTAATCATTTATAACATACATTCTGGTATACAAACAGAAACACTTAAATTGATAGTCAAACAAAAGCTATTTTAGGCTATTTTATTCAAAATAGTTCAAATGGAATAAACATGCCATATGGTGACACAAGCGTGAGAAAAAGACCTTACGACCTTAATGACATTCTTTGATCGCCATTGTGTTGAAATTATTTTTGGACCATGACAATAATATTCCACACAGGAGTAACAATAATCTTCATCTACATTTGAAGAGGCCTTGCTACATTCCTTAGTTTCACCTATTTTAAAGTCACTGCAGGAGCTCTTTCAGAATGATTAGTCTAGGTACAGTAAACAACAGCACCATCAGGTACACCGATACATCTAAACAATACTAAAACGCAAACACCATATTTTTTTTTGGCTGTCAACCCAGAACACATGCTTTTAGAAGAACAAGCTGTCCATTGTTTGAATAGCTTGTTAACACTCTCAAATGAGCTGCAAGGTTGCTTTGGGACTGGTCTCCACTTTGTAAACCATTCAAAACTCCAGTCTGCAGCCATTCATATGAGTCATTAAGAGCAAGAGCCGTGGCAGAGGGAAGAGACAGATGCATGCCCCCGGAGGCAGGACACAATCCTGCACAGACACGGCTAAGACCCCTAAAACCCCTCCAAAATCCCCCTCCGGTTACGCAACAGCCACCACTGCCGAGCCCAGCGCCGGAGGACAGAAATTGCTCTTGAGAAAAGCTGTGTGCCTTGTTTAGACAGCTCAAATCAAACTGTGGGATATGATAATATTCTTTCTTCTCCACTGCAGACAGCCTTGCTACTTGAATGGTAGACTGTATAGGTCACATCTGGAGTTGAGCAGTATGGAAAAATACATAATGATAAGAGGAGATATTTTCAAAGTCTAACAACTTGGATACAGTCTAGCTTGAAATACATCTGTGGTGTACTTGAAAAAGTTTATATAAAAACAAGGTTTGTAGGTGACCTTACTGAAAATGTCTGTGAAAATATAATCATTTGCAACAGTAAAGGAGATGTTGATAGTTCAACAACAGCCAGAATCTTTGATAATATCTTAAATAAAAAAAAAGGTAAATAATAAAAATAATGATAAAAACATAAAAATAAAATATTTAAATTTTTAAAGCTATGAATGTCTGGGCATGATCTACAAAATGTGGTGCAGTAATATTTAAACTAGTGTTGTTAAAGTTACACGCTAATAACAAGTTGTTTCTCAAAACATGATAAATTATTATGACCATTGCTGTTAACACATTTTCTAGTTTCACCTACTGAACATCCCTAGTCATGCAGGCTGAAGCCCAGCTGCAGCAAACTAAGAGAAGGCTACAATCACGGAGAAGTTGGAACCATTGGCTGCATATATGATATTGGTTGGACATACATTCATTAGTGGGAACATGCAGGCACTGCTGCGTTCACTGGACGTCCCTGTTGAAAAACTGTGTTCATCCTATGGAAATCATATAATCACGTGGGTAAAAGTTCAGCAAATACTACAAATACAGTTAATTACTATTAACTATGTCAAATAATGTAATTAACTCCAATTATTTTTATCATTTGACAGACTATAAACACACTGAGTAAGACAGTAGCTTTAAAAGTAACACTTGGGCAGATGGCAGTAGGGTAAACACTATTTTACAGAAATGCGATGAAAAGGGTCTATATATTAATGCAGGCAAGGACGAACTCAATATGGCTGTTTCAGACATGGCAAGGACACTATGAGGCCACACACGTGTAACGTGATAACACAGTACAGAAAGAGTATAAAAATGGATTGTGTGTTCCTTTAGTAAATAAATAGAAAGGTGAGGGAAGGCACATGCAGTGAGGTCCAGCTCGGACGGGCAGACAAGGGCCCTTCATCATCCCTCCTCATCTTCACTTGTTTTTAGCAGCCAGGGGCTTGCGGCTGATCTTCTTGGATTTGTCATTGTTCTTTTTGGGTGCTTCAGGATTGGCCTGCATGTGTCGCCCATAAAGACTGAAAAGCAGAACACAGACACTCTGTTATCACACTGGACAACATGAAATCATAATGAATAATAAAACAATTAAAAACACCATGTTTAATATGGACTGTAGTGAGAGGGAGAAGAGGAGCATTTCTGGGGGCTGCTGAGCTGAAGAAGGCATAATTGAGTATGCCACACACTGATGAGTCCCCTACTGAGACAGCAGACTCTTTGTGCTGTTTAAGGCTGTCCAGCCACAGCTGTGTGCTGCATAAGAGGAATGCACAGAGAGACAATTATCCAAAAGCAGGCCGCTCAAGGAATGGAGAGAGGGAGACGGCAGCAGAGAGAGAGGGAGAGAGAGAGAGAGGGGAAAGAGGATGAGCCATTTCCAGTCCACTGCCTTTCTCTGTGTAAGAGGCACTCAAAGGCTGAGCTAAGTGACACAAGGAGGGAGGGAGGGAGGGAGGGAGGGGGAGGGAGAGGGAGAGAGGGAGGGAGAGAGAGAGAGAGAGAGGGAGAGAGAGAGGGAGAGAGAGAGGGAGAGAGAGAGGAGAGAGAGGGAGAGGGAGAGAGGGAGAGAGAAATGGACAGGAGATAGTGTGAAAGTATGTGGGTGGTTGCTGCAGAGGCCAGGCTAATTGATGCTATGCTCCAGTCATTGCCACACTAATAAGGGTCTCTGATTGATTGTTGACAAAGTGGCTGGTGATTGCGGGGTCTGACGTACTGCACTGAGCATGTGAGCAGCTTCAGGACTGAGCAGCTTCAGACTGTAATTAAAGAATGCCATTTGAGAAATAATTCTAATTGCAGACCAGCAAAATGTCAAGCGACAGCTCCCCTTTAAGGCTAGAGTTCATATTTAATATTTACAGATGACTACAAACAGCCACCACTGAGTGTGTGGTTAATCAGAAGAGTCTCTTACTCGCTCTCTCTCTCTCTCTCTCTCTCTCTCTCTCTCAAACACACACACAGAGAGAGCCTCACTGAAAACTCAAGACCTCACAAGGCGATGACAAGTTTTTGAAAGTGGAAACTATTTTCCTATTAATGATCTCATTAGTATTGCGACAGTTTGGCACCACACCAAGGCAGTATCGTTCATACATACTGTGCCTCTGCTGACTAGATGTGACAAACTGCACTTCGCTATGAACCACAGCTAATCGAGGCTGCCTTCCTTTCTCCCCATCTCACTTTCTCTCCTGTCTGGAAGGCCCCGTCTCGGGGCTCTCCCCTGGGCTTTGGCGGCTCCTGTTCCCCCCCAGCTTCCTCCACAGCTGCCCAGTGAGGCGCGTAGGGAAGGCTCCGACGGGAGGGCTCTACAGTGGCCCCTGTGGAACTGGACAGCCTGTAAATACCAGAGACCTTTGTGACACTTCTCCATCTCACATGTGGAAAAAAAATAAATAAATAAAACAGATTGACATCATCCAGACCAAAAACATAACTTTCCTGAAGATTAACACTGACTTGAAAGTGAAAGAATGTGCTGGGACTTTATGGCTGTGCTGTGTATGTTTAATTCAGTGTCTGCTGATCTGACACTTCAGTGACTCTGACATGAGTTTGTTTAAAATGTATTTTTACAAGAAAGAAAAAAGAGGGATGAACACGAATTGAAAAATACAGCAAGAAAGAAGAAAAGAAAAAAGAGCAACAAGAGAAAGCCAAAATGCAGAGAATGAGTGAAGCAGCAGATGAAAAGCAGATTACTCATTATGTCAATAAAACTTAGAATGCAACAAACCCAATTATTTTGCAGAGCTGCACAAAGATGGATGGGGTGGAAAAAAGATCCATTCAATCATAAAACAAAAATCAATCTGAGAAAACTGAAATGTCCTCATAAAATCTGAATATTTCAGTTTAGGAGTTTTAAAGGAGAAGTTATAAATTGACTTCAGTTTAAATGATTAGAAGGTGTGAACACAACACTATAAATAAGATGAAATACTAGATGCAGAGCAGAAGTCTGTGTCTGGTCTGTGAAAAAAAAGAGTTTGAATATGCTGTCAAAAGTATAGCACTCTTCTTCAGTACTACATCTGTGCTGAGAATTGTGTATGTGCATTAGAGTTTATCTTGATGGAAAAACTATACTGTCCTGACATGTTAGAGAGCTGATGATTGCATGTAGAGAAGGTGTTTGGTGTTTGCAAGTGCATCTATGTAGTGGCTTCAGCTGTGATCTGGACAACGATTGTGAGCTGATGGGTTTGTGGCAAGCTGGGGGATCAGTGCTGACAGATGCACGTAGATGTTGGTGCTGAAACCTAGGCTAAATTGGACTGTTTTACATCAGGCTGATATGCTGAGGGTGCGTGGGGGATCACTGAAGCGTTCTCTCTCACTGTCAGCGTCCCAGACCACTGACAAGCCCAATAACATGGAAAGAATACTGAGAAACCAGAGCAGTGGGAGATATGAAAAAGACATGTACAAGTCCTACAGCACAGTCCACAGGCCCTTCATCAACAGCCTACCCAGCGGCATTACTGAATCAGTTAGACATCACTACAGGAGCCTCAAAATTTCTACACGATAAGCAAACTGTGAGTCATTCAGTTATAATTATTGTCCCGTTACGATTATTATATAGAAATGTTACTGGGTCACTGTGATCTCACTGTGTAGTGAATTTTGTACTCCAAAATTATCTGAAAATTGTTTGATAATAGCAGCAGTACACTGCAGTGTTTTCTTGATTATGTTTCAATAATGTGTTCTGCAAAATCCTTTCTCTGGAGTTTATCTTCATAGTAATATTTAGTATTACTATTATTAATATGTTAATTCTTACATGATCCACAGGCTAGATTTTTTGCGTTTTAAAAATATGCAAAAGTGTGTATATTTAAGTAGGTTTTGTCTCATTTACATATCGAAATGTATTTTTTTTTTAAAATAAAACATCCAAAACAAAAATATTTCTAAGAATATCAGTAATCAAGTGTCTAACACTCACAGATATCTGTTCTTTTAAAAATTACCCTACTCTGTGCTGTATTGTGCCTCATTCACAAAGCAGTCAAGGCTGAAACTCTCCATCAGTGTGAAAAGGCAGGCTAACCTGCTGTAGGCTAAACAAGTGGATAATTGTAAATTAGTTCACTTCAAAATAGGCTGTTTTTGCAGCTTAGTTTCCATATATGGATTGTATGGACAGGGGAAAGAATGGTATGTTCAGAACAATGTTTACATACTATATTAAACTAATTTTTGAAAACAGTGAGGATAATTTGGTTGTACATGAAATGAGCCCTTTAAAATAACACTCAAAGCCACTACAAACCAAAGCTTCTAATGTCTTCTCCGTATATCTCTGTTATTTATCTGGAGGCCCAATTTCACCTCTTCTTCAGACCATGACTACAAACACTGGTGTCTGCTGTAGCCACAGCTTTCCCAAACACACAGTCACCGCATCCACATCTCTGATCCCAGATCAATGAAGAGTAGGCTTATTACTACAGCAGTATGGCTGTCCTGCCTTGCTATAAACACAAAGATTTCCTATTCATCTGCCTCAGCGACCACTTAGAGCCAATTAAAGCCCAGAACTGGGGCTGCCCAGTTAATGGAATCTGATTCCTGATGGCCAGAGAGATTTTATTCCTACGGGCTCCTCAAATACTCTCTGGTTAATTAATCTCAGTTACAGCCCATTGTATCTGTACATACACTGCACTCTATCACAAATGTATGCTTCAGAATACTGACTGCCTATGTATATGTATCTGAGCTGAGAGTGAGTGAGTGCATAAGTGTGGGGCGCTGTATATACAGTAAGTTCATCTAGTCCAATGATAAATGTACTAGAGGTCCATGACTCATTGATCAGGTATTGAGGCTGGCACTATTTTCCACATTTCTGTTGAAACTGTTTCATGATTAGGAAGAATGTTACTTATCCTCTAATGAGCTCCAGCTTCATGTCTAAACTGCATGTCCAAGGGGGGAAAAAAGAGCCTCTTCAGCATATTAAAAAATCTGTAATCAGACTTAGGCAATGTTGATAAAAGGGGTTAATTACTGAAGCCATGCAGTATTTGATCCTTGATACTAAAAATGCTGAAGAGCGCTTCCACTGACATTAAATGTTATATTGATACAGAACGGTCACAAGGAAAACTGTTTGAATTCATCAATTCATCATTCATCCTTTTCTTGTATGTGTCGACTGACGTATTTTTCTGATACTTATTACTGGTAAACAAGAAAGTCCATAACAGATACATGGGGCTAATAGTTGTTTGCCATAAATTTGTTTATAGTATTTTACAGGAACCACAAAATGAACATTAATGGAAAATAATGTATACTGAAATACTAAACAATCGAACATTATAAATACACTGCACTGTGCACTGTACATAAACGTAAAGATACAAATGGAATATAAATGTAAGGAAACTTTAAAAGGAAATTTTACATAGATAAAACTAACAGCTCACCTCAAGATAAAATGAATATAAGAAAACTTATAAGAAAATGTAAGAAAAACTTAAATAGTTTGTTAAAATATAAAAAAGCACACAGGGATGGTGGAATCTTTGAAGGCTGGATCATGTGTCGAGGAAGACCAATCTTGGTCAGGACAATATTTTTAGCTTAAAAAAATCATGATTATTGATTATACCCATATACTCCAACCTGTACCTAATACTGCTCCTGCCTTTTACCTAACACTAAAGCATCTGATCCAGCCAATCATGGACTTGCAGGAGTGGTAGACTGAGGTTGGAACCAGGCTCTGCAGGAAGGCAGATCTTCCAGACCAGGGTTGGTGACCACTGCTCTCTATGAATCATTTCTAAATCCATGCCCACAAGCTTTACACATTAAACAACAAGGTGTTTTCCAATCGCTATTTCAGAGTCACTGTGGACTTCAGCTATAGATGCCTTTGGAAATCCATGTAGAACATAAATATGAAACAATATTTCATTAATTAACTTATCTTAACCACCAGGACACTTAAGCTGTACGTAAAATGCTGTGAATGGTATGTTACACTCTG